ATGGAAGTTCTAATGATAACCCAGCAATTGAGCGCAGAGTTTTAATTCAGTAATCTGGATTTTATGCATATAAGACTAATTATATACACTAAAGTTCAATTCTATATGCACTTCAAAAATTAAAGGAATGCTATGTATGTTGATAATATGAAATATGGCTCAATATATAATGTTAAGAAGCAGAGTATTCTGCTTTGCCAAATATGAAAAAATCATTAATTTTCCCCATACTAAGGCGCAACAAAAGCATTTATACTTTCTCATTGTGTCCAACATTGAAAAATTATAAGAAATTGATGACTTATAGAACTTACATTGTAGAAATTAGAGGAAGTCAGGAATAAACCCTGACAAAGGAATATTATTAAGCCCGAGCTTCTGAGTTTAACTCTATAGGAAATATTTTCACAGAAACCATTTACTGTTCAATGCTTATCTCCCTACAGATACTTGGTTCACAGAAAACAAAAAACACAACACTGGGCAACCACAAATTTAAAAACTCAGTATTTTTCAGAAATATGAGAATAGCTCTCCGACCAATAAATCTAAAGTCTCTAGTTACAGTGCATGATGCTCAGTAACTCCTTGAAATAACCTGAAAAATTGAGCATATTGAAAGGTATATTCAGTGTTTAAGGGGGCAAAGATGGATAGAATTTGAGGGGCAGAGTACTACGGAGGTGAGCGCCAGAAGGAACTCCAAAGATCTGCAGGGGGTTCACTGAAGTTTTGACTATGTACTACTGGTCAGCTCACACATGGGGAAAGCAACCCAAGGCCAGGGAAAGAAACACCCATAAAGATCTGAAATACAAACTTGGCTGAGAGTAATTTGTATCTACATGGTCAGAGTGGAAAGACCTTGTGATACCATGTACACCCTGTAGAATACTCAGAAGCATATTACTTTAGTTGTGATCCTAAATGTGCCCTTTTACCACAAGCTAATCTAAACCTCTCGCACAATGCTTAAATCAGGCCTCAAAGGTATCTTACTAATTCTAGTACCTTATCTCTATGCTAGAAAAAATTTTAACACTATTAAAAGAAAGATAATAAAATACAGCAACCAACAGAATGTCAGGCATTCAGTTAAAAATTACCAGGTTAAAAAAAAATACAGGAATATATAACCCATAATGAGGAGAAAATTTATCTTTAGAAATGGACACCCAAAAAAAGACAGAAATGATGAAACTAAGGTAGAAGAAAATACTAACATTCTGATTAGAGAAATGGAAAATATAAAAAGACCCAAATTCAACTTCTAGACATGACCTGGCTCAAGAAAGTTTGGCAAAATTTTTCCTAAGGGGCCAGATAGTAATTATTTTAGAGTCATGAGCCATATGATCTCTATTGCAACTATTCAACTCTGACCTCATAGCACAAAAGCAACCATAGGCAATACATAGATGAATGGGCATAACTATGTTGCAATAAACAGTGTTTTACAGGTGTGTCTGATCTATAGGCAAGAGTTCGCTGAGCCCTAACATGGAGATTAAAATACCAGAAACAAAAAGTGCCCTAAATAAGATTAACTTCCAATGAAATCTTGTACAAGAAAAGATCAGTGGAATTAGCATAATAAATATTTACAATGAAACACAATAGAAAAAAATTTTAGATAGGATCAGGTACATTCGGGACCATATCAAGCAGTCTAACACATATGTAACTGGAGTCCCAGAATAAAGGGGAAGGGAACAGAAAAAATGAAGTAATTTTGAAGAAGTAATGGCTGATTTTTTCCCCTTTAAAATTTGTTGAAAACAAATTCACAGATTTAGAAAGTTCAACAAATTCCAAGCAGATGAGAAAAACTGAGGCTTAGAGTTGTTAGGTTACTTTCTGGAGGCATTTCCATAACAAGCAAAGATTCAAATATGTTTGCTGACTTGAAACCCACGTTTCTAACCTATTTGGTATACTTCCTCTCAAACTTGACAGCATGAATCTAGTCTTTAAAACAGGAATGAAAATATATTTATTGAAAAAACAGTTATGTCAGGTACTGTGCTAGATGTTATTTTGTATATTCTTTTATTTAGTTACAATATCTCTTTTAGGTAAGAATAATTTTCCTAATTTTACAGAAGGAAAAGCTCAAAGTCACAGAGTTAACACAGAATGTTTACATAGTAGAAAAAGACACAAACTCGGGACTTCTGGATTTACAGACTGTGTTCTTGTGGAACTTGGCTATGCGGATGGATATCTGCAAAAGAAACAAGGCATATGAATTCTATAGGTAGAAATCATGTAGTTCAGAAATATTTGAAATATAAACTTACTCATAAAGGAAAATGAGGCCTTTGAATTTACCATTAGTTCAAGCAATTACTGTCACAATACAAATTACTGACAATAAATTTCAGAGCTAGTACAATAGCTCCCGGTATGCCTATAATACTTAGAATCATAAAACCATAGAATTGTGAAATTATTTACAGATTGTAGAATCCAGGCTATTTCTTTCAGAGGAATGGAAATGCAACCCAGACAGTTATATCATTTGGCTAAAATACATCATTGGTTATTGACCCTTTTTCTAAGCAGTGCCCAATTTCATTCCAGAAAATATAAATTATTCATGCAGGAAGACAAACACAATTTTGGCAGGTCAGAGATTTCAATGAGATGCGAATTGGCTAAGGATTTTGATTTATGGCTTGAGGCAGCTTTCCAGATTGACTTATCTTAGCTGCCCTTCTGTGGAACCTACTATTTTGAGTACCTAACTTGATATCTATTCCATCCCATTTAACAGTCATCAGCTGTCTCATGAAGAAGAAGGTAAATTACTATAACACAATGCAAAATTCTGAAAAATCAAAGAATGTTAGAGAGGAAATTTTTATCAAGATCATTTTCCCTTTTTTTGCCAAATGGAAAATAAGCCAAAATAGTTTGTGACTCTACTCTGAAGGATTAAATACAAGTGCTTCATTTTAAGCAAATTTTCAACAGTATAAGTGTCAACCATATACAAACTTACATGCACACATACATGCAGACACACACGCTTTTCTGTAAGCACCATGAAGACAGGGGCTACATTATTTTCACACATTCCTAGCACCTTACACAGCAGCTGGGCAGCAGCACCTGTAGATGCTGAATATTTATTGGGTGAATGAAAAAAATGAGTGAATAAGCATAAACACATAGAAAAGCACAGCTCTAAAGCAATATGTGAAACTAGATTTTAAAGTACTAATTAGAATAGATTGTAAACATTAATAATAAATAACATTTATGGATTGATTTTCATATATTAGCCATTATGGGTAGTGCTATTCTATACTTTTATTTTATTTGATCCTGTCTTGGGTTATGCACGAAATTATAGGTTTATCCCCTTTCTGAGTCAAACAACGGGCTGAACTCTTTTTAATCTCAGAAATTTTAGGACACCAAGACTATCTACTCAAAGACTACATGTGACTTTTGGGGTTGAGTAGTTCTGAAAGACAGTGGCGACCAATAAATTCAGTAATTTGTGTGAGTGTGTGTGTGGGTGTGTATGTTCACAGTAGTGGTGGTGGATCTGAGCTTACCTTCATTCCTCCATCTGAAATTAAAAGCTTTTTGCAAGTTCAAACAACTAAGCTGATGTGGTTGCTCAACTTTCAGGCCATTTACTCAGGGAATTGATGGAGATGTCCTGGTCCTTTTTAAAATCTTTAGGACTGAGAAAACAGAAGTAGTTTCTTTTTTCTTTTTTCTTGGGGGGGAGGGGGGCCGTTTGTATTTCTTTTCTTTTTCTATTGTTATTCTATTGCAGTTGTCCCAACTTTCTCCCCTTTGCCCTCCTCTACCCAGCCCACCCCCCGCTCCCACAGTCAATCCCCACACCATTGCTCATGTCCATGGGCCATTCATACATGTTCTTTGATTAGTTCTTTCTCCTACTTTCCACCATTATTCTCCCCTGCCTCCCCTCTAGCAGCTGTCAGTCTGTTCCGTGTTTTCATGCCTCTGATTCTATTTTGCTCATGAATTTATTTTGTTCATTAGATTCCTCTTATAAGTGAGATCATATGATATTTGTCTTTCACCACCTGGCTAATTTCACTTAGAATAATGCTCTCCAGTTCCATCCATGCTGTTGCAAAAGGTAGAAGCTCCTTCTTTCTTTCTGCTGCATAATAATCCATTGTGTAAATGTACCACAGTTTTTTGATCCACTCATCTACAGATGGACACTTGGGCTGTTTCCAAAACTTGGTCTTTGTAAACAGCCTGGTCCTTGGTTATAGGAAAGTTGTTTTTTGTTTTTTTTTTCCTTTCTTTCCCTATCTGCTCTGGTACAGCAGACTAGGGAAAGCTCTTAGGGAACAGTACTATGCCTTACTCAGAGATCACCCTTCTCCCTCCAGAGAAGGAAGAACTGGCAATACCTTTCCTGCAAGATTTCAGACACAAATGTGATTCCTGTGCTTCCACCTGTGGAGTGAAAGTGTCTATTGAAGTCATCCCACCCCTGCGCCACCATCATACATTCATCTTGTGTGGAAGATCGATTTTCCTTTTGTTTCCTTTACATTCTGGATTACAGGGGGCCAAAGCTGAATCATATCCAGATGGGCATGTGATGCAAATCAAAAAATCCTGAACTTCAACCATAATATTATAATTAGATGAGAGTTTTGACATCTTGGGATGAAGGTGAGGCATGTAGGGGACATAGGAATATATGGGATCAGAGGACACACTGTGGTAAAATATAAAATTAACTACAATTTTTTTTTTTTAGTCCTGCACACATACCCCTGCAATGTGACTGCAGGTCCACTAAAAAGTAGAAGTTACTTCTTAAATCTGAGTTGGCACTAACTTGCTTTGCCTAATGTAACATTGGCAAACATGAAGCAAGCAGGACTACATAGTGCTTGCACGTTAGTGGTTGCCTTCTTTTTCTGCTTCACTGCAAGCGTCAGCATTTAAAGATGCTCAGGTTGTTACCCTAATTAACAGCCCTACCAGTTGCCATGCGTGTGAGGTCAGCCTCACTATTAATTGCTATCTTCCGTGGTGAATTTACCTTACATTTGGAAGGTAAATCTGGGCATACATCATTTATTTCTTAACACTTTACCCTTAGGAGCATATTGCCCACAAAGATTATCAGTTCTACTTTGCTCCTCTTATGCATAAATCTTAGAGGCAGGGAGGCACTCCGTGAAGGAAAATAAGCCATGATACAGCATTGACCAGTAGTGTGCTGCATCTAAGAATAACACTTTCCCAAAGAGATAAGCCATGTCTCTCCTCCAACCTAATATTTATGGTAATACAGCATAATTGGGAGATATTTTGGCCCCTGTCTACCATATTCCTTTGTCCTACAACTCTATTGGATCACAACTTGTAAGGAGAAGACAGGTATTTTTACTTCATCCATCACAGATACCAACAATGAAAATAATACTGCATTTTTTTCTCTTCTACACACAATTATAATTCAAATTTCTTTTGTTTGTCTGAAAGAACACAGGAAGACTGATGATTTTTTACCTGTCTGACACTAGTATACATTTGTGTATACACAAAAAAATTTACTGCCGTATAATAGCAGAAGTCAAAGCAGGATTCCTCCTGTGCAAGTATTTGTTTTGGCTTTTAGATGCCCCTCTGAAGAACTCAACACATAGCACACCTGTAATTTTGTTTCTGAGGAGAGGAAAAATACTCAAACTCTCTTATCCAACATTCTGAAGGATTATTACGTTGCTCATTTTTATTTTTTCCTACCCAGGATAACATTAACTCAACAAGGCCAATGCCCTTTGCCCATTGGTTACAGTTTCATATGCTATGCAGTCACCGCTTCTGAGGAGAATAATGAAGTTGTCTGTAGTCACAACTTACATAGATCACAAACAAAACAAAGATGAAAAAGGCAGGTGAAGAAAGCAGATTTGAGTCACCGTTGGCTGTATGACATTCTGAGTGGATGGAAGATATTAAACAGATGTATCCATCTGAAGGCAACACTTTTCTCTCTTGATCCCTGCTGACCATCAGCATCCATAGCAGTGTCTGATGATGTATATCTAATAAAAGACAAAAGAAAGGGAGGAGAAATTGTTCACATGATTTGTGCTAGTTCATGGTCTCATCATGGTTAGTGGTAACCTGTCTTTTCCCTTAGAACAGAGCTTTAACCACAGATTTTTCCATGTTTGTGGTAGGCATTTAGCCAAAAGACAAATACAGCAACACATCAATAATATTCAATAATGTAGTAACTATAATAGCCTATGTTACAATTTTTTAAACTTCTCAGCAATTAGTTCTATTCCATGGAACTAAACAAGAAAGAATCAGGAATATTTCCCATGTAGGTATTTGCTTTGACACAGGTAAATTGAAGCAAAAAAAACAGTCATGATATTTTTGAGAAAACTCTAAGCTAGAGTTCACTGATTTCCACGTAGGCAAGTCTCACGTAATCGATAGGCATCAAGGGCTCAGAGCCCTTGTCCGGCTGGCCTCCCGCTTTGGCGGCGCTCAGGTTTGGCTGACTGTGCTATCAGTGTAAGTCAGGGGATTAGCTGATTGACCACATGCCCTAGGCTTTTGTTTCTTTGTTTTTGTTTTGTACTTGGACAAAGATAGGAAAGTTGACTGGAGCCCCAGAGATCTATGGGGGGAAAAAAGATAGAAAAGAAGGAGGAAGGGAGAGGAATTTGTAGGGAAATGTGGTTTCTGCTGTAAAAGACATGACACAACATGAGTTTGATTCTGGCAGAAGCAAGCTGACAAGGTGGGTCAAGAATTAACCCACAAGGATACCAGGATACCATTTTCTGAGACTTGTCTCTAAATTCCATCAAAAACTTCTGTGAAGGATGTGTAAGTATTATGCAAATAACAACAAAAAAAATTGCATTAGTCCCATTTGTGTATTTTAACCTGATTTTTGTGAGTATTGATGAATAAATTCCTCCACATATGGAGCATAGCACAGGGTCTGGCAGAAGTAAGGCCTGCTTGAGTGTGGTTGGTAAGGTAATAATATGGGAATAATAATTTATAGTTTAATTTGAACATTTCATCTAAAATGTCATATGGTGTGCTTAAGTGTGATAATGTTATGTTACAGAGTTACATGCTTATGATTTTGTAATAAAAGATTTTGTAATAAAAAGGGGTATTTGTGCCAGACCCTGTATAAATACTTCAAAATATTCTGAATTTAAAACTATAACTAGAATATTTTAGGAAGTGCTTTTAGCTCTTGGTGTTTTAAAGTAGCTTACTCTCTTGCAATTCAATAAAAATGTAGAAAGTAGACTGTAATGACAATTAAATAGACATTATTTGCTTGTTAAGATAGTGTGCATGAGTTTAATATTGGATTTGTTTTTTACTTTTCCAAAAGAGGTACTAAATATTCAAAGATTTTCTTAATTTTATTAAAAAAGGATTAGGGATATTAAATGAATTTCAAGCTTCTTAAGTATTTCCAAAGTTATACATTTGATTAGCAACATGTCACTATTTGACTGTTGTACTTCATATTAGCAGAGTAAAAAAGGATGAGGAATCTCATAATGCAGGATTTGCATTGGGCTTGATGATCTCTAAGGTTCTTTCCTCAAAACTTTATGAATCTTAATTTTTTTAATGAGGCGATAAAAAAATTCTATAAAATATCCTCCTTACTGCTTGTTTTCAAAAGATTTTTCTTTCTCCTAAAATTATAACAGGCAAAGCCTCCAACTGCAATCAGTCAATTCCACATCCTTTTCTTTGAATCTGTCTGAATGTTCTTTCTTGGGGTGTTAGGCTTTGTGGTCTATGGAAATGAAGCTTTGCACTTGAGTTGTGATCCAGACAAGAGGAAAATAAACCTCTTTTGTTACAACCAGTTCAGGCCAATCACTCCACAAGTAATTTTTTGTGTGTGCCCATAAACCTTACTTATCTACATCAGATAAAATTTTCTTTTAAATGTAAGCTAATATCATAATAAAATAAAGAATACTTTTAACAGGTATTATTTCTAGAATTATTACTATTTTTTAACTAGCTGTTTATTTCAGGTAAATTAATTTGAGCTGGCTGAGAGTTTCCTCCAACTCCAACACTCTATTATCTATTCATGTTATCAATATAATTATACCTCAGGCCTGTAATTAGAAAATGGAAATTAGGTAGCTACTAAAATAAAGTACTTCATCATTATTAGAAATTGGTAGGTGATAATAGTAAAATATGACTGCATTTTCACAATTACTAAGATGTTACTAAGATGTTTAAAGTTTTAATTAAGAGATATGCTAAGGATTACTATCTTCATTATATTATTTTTATTGCTTATAAGATCTACAAAACTTGGAATTTTTAAGTTGGATTCTCTTGAAAATCAGTGTTTTTTTTTAGTGTATTTTTGGTTTTATGTTGATTGACTTGACTTGGATATTTCTGACATACTTTAGGTGTTCTTGGTTTTACAACTAGTGACTGTCCTGTTTGTTGGTGCTACTTTCCATTTTAATGCTGCATGAAAAAACATCAGTCAAGAATGTGTTCTTCAAAAGCCCATCTACACTGTAATTTATATCCTGTCTGTTTTATTAAGAATTAGTCTAGAGGTGATATCATTTTGGCTTCAGATTCATCTTTTTGATTTCCAAGTCCAGCCTCTCTGCCTATGTGATGCTGGATCTCTTGGGGAAAAACTAATTATAAAATGCATGGTGCCAGAACAGTTTGAGAAGACCATCTTTCTCATTGCAATGTATACATTTACTGTAATTACAATGATATTATGTGCTGTCGTGATTTTTGACATCCTATTTAAAAGAGTATGCTTTCTAACTAGGCAATGACCCAAAGGTTGATTACCTACTTTCTTGTCACAGTTAATTATCCATCACTTTATTTTTACCTTATCCAGTGAGTATCTCAATCTCAAACATAAACATTCTTTAAACTTATCTCAGTGTGTCTAAAATTTATGTCTAATATAAAATGTAATGCTAAGTTCTAAGGCAGGGATTCTTGAACAAACATTTCATTCTATTTTAATTTTTTCATGCATTAGAAAATATACAGAGAACTAATGTTAACTCATGTTTAAATAGTACATTTATAGAGTTCTTTCACCTACTATATCTTAAAAGATCATAGTATTTTGTGGGCAGAGAAACTTTTACTATCCCTTTTATACAGAGTGGAATATTGAGACTCAGGGAGGTTAATTCATGGGCCCAAATTCATACAACCAGACTAGAATCCAGATCTCCTAGCTCTAAAGCCATTTCTCTTTCCACAAAACCAGGCAGCTTAAACTCTGAGAATGTTATTATATTTGCAGTCATGTAAAGTATAGCTTATTTAAGACACAAGTTGTAATTATTAAAAGAGTCATTCCACATGTGATCATTAACTTGAAGAAATGGAGCAATTACATTTTTAATATTTTACTTTACTGTTTCCTTGAAAATTTAAATATTAAATGATATGGTAATATAGTCTCCAAATAAATTTAAAAATACTATGAAAGATATTGTGCAAGATTTTCTTGTTTCTTGTGAAAAAACTAAAACCTCTGTTCATAGATATAACTATCTCTTCCATATTCAAAATTATTGAAATGGAAAATTATATTTACAATAAATTAGACTTTCGTAATAGCCATGAAATTATTTTGAAGACAATTTTATATGAATTCAGTGCACTTCTTTTTATCTTCCTGCATTACTAATAATCATCTTCACTTGATATCATTTAAAATCTTTACATATGACAGTCTTATACTGATGACTTAGGGAAATAAGTAGAGCCAGTCAAATACTGAGGTTTTCAATCTTTTTCTCAGTATTATTCAGCTTCTGTTTGATGTCCTGAATTTTTAGATTTAAGAGTTTTAAATTAGTGAGGCTTTCTCCACATGAGTACACAGGAGAAAAATCCAACTTACCTCACTGAAACAGGGTGGGTTGGTATTACAGTAACACTAGAAAGACCAGAAATAGTTCTACAACTACACAGTTGATTTGTTGTTGTTTTTTTTTAATTTACCAACATAGTTCAATGGTGTTGAAAAAACAAGATATTCATGTTGGAAACAATGAACTGTGATGTTCACCTCCAGCCCAGCCATGGATGTGTAAATAGGCCTGGCCAAATCATCAAGGTCTTCTCTTTCAGTTTTCTGCAGAAACTTTTAAGGCAAAACAATATTTTAGAGCATGCTAAATGAATAAAAAGCCTCATGATACTGGAACCCAAATTTCTACCATATACAGTGTACCAAAAGATACAGCAATAGATACATATTACCTGGATTACATTGTTTGAGCCCTGTCATTTGCCACCAAAATAGTTGTGACCACAACTGGGACAGAAAGTTCCGCTGTGAGATGATCACACATGCACTGGAGTCCAGGGAGTCGTGCAAAAGATTGAACTTTTTCCATCAAAACACTCATCAGTTCTGGTCTCTCTCCCTTTTCTTCTTTCTGTGATTGCCCCCAATCCCTGTCTCAGCCTTCCCCTCACTGGCTCTATCCTAAAGGTAATGTTAGATTTTTCAGCAATTAATTAGAGCTGGATGGAGGAGAGTTTAGGTCTTTCTTCATAGTAAAATATCATAGTAAATTCTTCATTGTGAAACATTAAGATATACTAACCTAATGTTCTTGATTCATAGCACAAACTCAATACACTGTTATGCTAACAGTATCTCTGTTACTTTTTTCCTTCATATCAATTACCCTCTACTGTTGGGAGTATTGTGCTTAAGAAAAAAAAAAGAGCATGTGTTAGCAGATGGAGTAAAATCCAATTCTAATAATTGAAATTAATTGGAAAGTTTGCCCCTCCACTCCTAGGATGTATGCAACTGAGACAGGAACCTTGAGCAACCTTTATTCCTGAAGGGAAAGATTAGGAAAATAACAAAACATGTAGCTTTTCCAGAAAGAAAGAACAGCTGTGTTTTGGGCAAAGGATGATGCAATATAGCAAAGACAAAACAAAAGAATATTTTGGTCTAGAGAGCCATTCAAGTCATGTAGTAGTGGTTAGGTTGACAGACTCTGAAACTAAAGTACCTGGATTTTAATATTGAACACTCATACTTACTGGCTGTGACCTGGTACAAGTCACATAAATTCTATGTCTCATTTTTCTCAACTGTAAAATAATGAAAATAATAATTCTACCTTCATCATAGGGTTGTAATAAAAGATTAAACAAGTTGATATACAGCACCTAGAAACATGCATGATTACATAATAGATGCTCAATAATTGCTGGTTAGTTATTATTACTTTTTGAGGAAGAAGTAAGGTGAAACAATTTCTATTTGGTAACCTTGTTCTCAAGGGCAGTGAGTACAGCCTTTGACCAAGGCAATCAGGGTAGAGGGTCTGGCTTGAAAAGAGTAGAGAAAGCTTGAAGAATCAGGTGCATACTGGTGATTCACTAGGGCACTTGTCCTTAACCCCAGATATGCCATTAAAATTTCTTGAAGACTTTTTCAAAGTACTGGTATCCAACCCAGATCAATTGAATTTGAATTCCTGGAGTTAGGACCTAGATATGAATGTTTTTAAAAAAAAACTTGAGATGATCTTTAAGGACAACTGCAGTTGAGAATCAGGAGATACAAGAGAATAAATAAGAAATCATAGGACAGATAAAAGACATTTGGGTTATCCCACTCTGCTTTGCTTCATTAATTTCTCTCTCAATTCAGCAACTTCTGACTGAAAGCCAGGATAGTGGGAGTGAGAGAAAGAAATCATAATGTCTTTGTTTGTTCAGTCTGCTATAACAAAATACCACAGACTGGATAGCTTATAAACAACAGAAATTTATCACCTCCCACAGGTCCCACCTCATAATGCTATGACATTGAGCATTAGGTTTCTACATATGAATTTGATGGTGGGGAGCACAAATATTCACTTCATAGCAAATACATCCTCAGGTGGCAGTAAACATGTTACTGAGATTGGGGGGAACACAGAACTCAGTTTCTTGCTGGGTGAAAAAAAAATGGTTCCAGAGTAAGGTGGTAGACCCTGTAAACAAGAATAGACAAAGGACATGGAGTGGGGGTAAAATAGGACATAAAGCAGCTCCTTAGGGGATTGGGAGAGTTTAATGTTGATGAGGGACGAGTAGATAGAAGAAAATTTCAGAGCTTGAGATCTTGTTTCTTGGAAATGGTGTGATTTCAATGAAAACAATTTTAAGATGAACTCTTAAAATGTGGACTAAAACAAAATAAAGAAATAATGAAGGTAAATCGTGGAGATAAATAAAGTGAAAGATGATAGTATGGGATAGTGAGGAAATTGAAGTCACTGATGATGGAAGGAAAAATTGATGCCTACAATATTATGAGTCAGTAGCACTGAGCAAGAAATATATCTGGACACCTTCTCTGTACATTGACAAAATAATTAAAGTTCAAATACTTCGCAAAATTGTCATCACTTTCCAAAAATAAATAATTTACAGATTATTTATTCACTAAAGTATACGCTATCCAATTCAGAACGAAAGTTCAATTTTCAAGTGGAAAAAATTTCTGGTTACTTTATCCAGTATGTCGATATAAAAGTAATTTAAAAGTTTAAACACATCATCTCTCATCTTATGCAAGAATTGAATGTACAGTTTCTAAGATTAGAAAAGGTTCTGGTGGACGCTATTAATATAATCTGAGGAATTGGAAGCGATAATTCTTGAATGATGCCAACGGCAATTCACGACTTTATCCTTTTTTCCCAATCAATAAACATTAGTCTCTTTTTGTTTTTCCCTTTTTATCCTTCCTTTTTCCACAAAAGAGGTGAGCCAATAAAAATTTTTAAAAAAAATTAAAACAAAACAAAACTTCCCTCCTTCCTACCAGCAGAGTGCGCTACTACCTCTCAGACCGTGAGCCAAGAACTCTGAGATTGTTCCTACTGGGAATCCGTAGTTGACTTGCTGTTGCTGAGCAACGGGAGAGTAGGCGGGATTTACCCTGCACGCTGGTTCGCGTGATCTCCCCGCGGAAGCGGAAGTGCTGGTTGCGCGCGAGTAGGAAGTGGTGAGGAGAAGTAGAGATGGCTACGCTTGCCCCGCTGCCTCCGCTCCCCCCACAGTTTAAGAGCATACAGCATCATCTGAGGACGGCTCAGGAGCATGACAAGCGGGACCCTGTTGTGGCCTATTACTGTGAGTCTTTCCGAGTCGCCGCGGCCTCCCTTACCTGCTGGGGCCCACCCACCACTCTCTGGTTCTTGGAGCAGGCCCCGCCCCCTGGCTCTAGACCTGGGCTCTACCCTCTGCCCCGCCCTCCTCGGAGGTCCTGACCAACTCTCTCTGCCCCATCGCAGATCCCAGAAAAACAAAACTCCTAAAGCACCAAGATGTCCACCGCCTCCACCGTCTCCTGTCTTGGGCTTAAATGTTCCCAAAATGACTACATAGTCTCAGGAGCACCGAAAAACGCTGACCTAAGGTGTTTGGTTTGGTTTGATTTCTCTGTGTACACGTAATAGCCTCTCGTCTCCCTCCACCAGGAAAACCTGAAAATAACATGGGTAATTGAGTTGGGCCATCCAAGGTGAATGTCCCAAAGACAGCAGTACTGTGGACAAAAAGACTACAGACTAAATTTGTAAACATAGTAATAAGGGCAGGTTAATTGTAAGTGCAAGCCTATTCCAAAACTCATAAATGGTTAAACGGGGTTAAATGGAGAGTATCCGCTACTTAAACAGACATTTGAATTTAACCATTCCTACTTCTGCGTCCAAACAGCTCTCCTTCCATTGAGAATTTTTAGTCTTAGTACCTGGGTTGAGATATTTGGTATCAGTGTTCTCACTTTGATTGATTTTTATAGTTATAATCTATAGTTGGCAGAAATCGCGGATTAAATTTGTTCAGAGTTTCTTTGTGGTGAAGAGAGTAGTTCCAGTAGAGTTATGTCAACTTTATTTTATATTCCGTACTTGAACCTGACTGCAAATAAGTAACCCAGAAACTAAATCTTCTGAAAAGGATTCTTAGAGTTAAAGCTCAATGTGTCCTCAGTTGTTACAAGATAAGCTAAAATCTAATCCACTGTCACCCCTGCGGTAGGTACTGCAGGTGTACCATCTTCATTTGTCACGTGTGCAAGGCCCTTTCAAACCTCGGTGGTCTTCACCTTCTTGGAACGTCTACCTCTTTTCCTCCGCTTGTCAAATTCCACATGATCCAAGTTCTAACTCAAATGTCCTCTTCTGCAATCAGTAACTTGAATACTGTCTAGGCTTTACCTCATTCTGTTCAAATCTGACATCGTCTTTTCTATTGTACTTGTTATTCAGGTTCATCAAGAAGGGGACATTAGTCATTCAGTGTGTATTTATTGAGCTGCTACCTACAGTTCCTGCATTAATGGCGTGTACATAAAATGGGGTGGGGAGATTAAACAATAAGATGAGTATATTACGTAGGGTATTAGAAAGTTATGGAGAAAAATAAAGCAGGGAAAGAAAATAGGGAATACCAGGAACAGGGGGGCAGGGAGTGAGGAGGGAATTTTACTTCCAGAGTGCTCTGGTGACTGCTTCACTGAGTTCACATCTGAGCAAAGCCTTGAAAAGAATGGAAAGTAGGCTTTGCTTCATCTGGGAAAGAGTATTATATTAACTTTTCTCCAAGGAGGGAATAACAAGTTCAGAAGTCCCGAGGCACGGGTTGCTTGAAGGAGGATCAAGGAAGCCATTGTAACGGGAGTGGTTAGAGCAAGGAGAAAAAAGAAATGATGTGGACAAAGAGGTAGTCTCTTATAACAATGTAGTAGGAACTGTTGTTCCTGCCTAAAACTAATCCCTATTCATGGGCTTTCTGTTATATTCTGTGACTGCCTAGGGACCCTTTATTTCCTTTGTCATTATCCTCTCCCTCTCTCTTTTGCCATTTCTTTCTAAACTTGACCCCGTTTCCTTTATTTAAAAAGTAAAAATAATAGTAATAATAATAAAAGCTCTCGCTTTGACATTCCACTAAAATTGCTGTCCTGTCTGCACAGCCTCAGAGATTAGCTTGAAATAGCTGTCTGTAATTGTTTTTATATCCTTATCCCATAGAATCTTTTCAGCCCATTGGAGTCTGGTTTTCATGCCCATTACTTCAGGGAAACAGCTCTCAGCAGGGTCATGAACAAACATTTTTATTGCTAAATCCAGGTGGCACTTAAAAAATATTTTGTTATGAAACATATGCATATTAAAAACCATATATAATGTGTGTATATAGTCTGAGGTATAATAAAATGAACATTAATGTACCTACCATGTTTGATGTTATTAGACTTTAATTTTTGCCAATCTGGTGGGCATGAAATGTGTGTCTCATTGGAGCAAAATTTGCAATTCATTGGGTCTTAATGAGATTGAGTATCTTTTCATATGTTAATTAACCATTTGCGATTCCCTGTTAAAATACTGTTTGCTTTTGACCATTCTTCTAGTTCACCATCTTTCTTAATAATCTAAAGACTATTCCTTTGTTGTACGCATTGCAAATGTCTTCTCCTAGTTTCTAGCTCAATTTTCCACTCTATGAAGTCCTTTTATGTTCAGAATTCTTAGCTTTAAAATCTAGCCAGTTTATCCAGCTCTTCCCTATGATTCATATTCTCATTTTCTAGACCCTGTTTTCCTTTTGTGTAAGTAATACCTTGTTTGGGACGTTGACGTATTGCTCTTCCTCTGTTACCCCTATTCTCTACTGAAATTTTGATTAGACATGTGTTGCACTTTTCTCCTTTATTTCTTTGTCTCTTAATGCTTTCATGGTTTGCATACCTTCGTCTCTCTGAGCTACATTTGGTGTAATCTCTTTAGGTCTGTGTTCATCTCCATGTAGATGTCCTGTTGTATAACCCATTTATCGAATTTCTGCCTTAATTTTTTTATTTCTAGATGTTCAGTTATTTTTGTTTTCAAATTGGCCTAGCCATTTCTATAGTCTTTTGTTACTGTATTTTTTAAATACTCTTACTTCTTTAAATGCTTTAAATATATTTATATTCGTATGTGCTGTCTGAGAATTCCTGGGGTATTGTATTTGTGGGTATGAACATGCTGATAAACAGAAGATGGCTCATGGTGACTTTTTCTTTGTAACTGGTGTTCTAGACATACTAAACTAGGGCTTTTCAAACTTCTGTATGTAAGTAACTCTACAAGAATCATTTTCCCAGTTCTCAACTTCCCTGTTTTTTTCCTGACAAGGCTCCTCCAGTCACAGTAGCAAAGTAGTATGCTGCTTCTCTTTTCCTTCATCTTGTTCACAATTGCCCTTCTCCTAGTTAAAGAAGAAGGGCCTGCTGTTATGCATCATGAGTATTCTTATGGGTGTATTGCCCTGGAAAAGAAGGTGGAAAACCTCCTGGGTTCAGAAAAACAGGACAATTCAAATTACTAGTATTAGTGAAGCCTCCACTATTTAAGGTATTAGGTAAAGCTTCCTGTCTTTCCCTGTGTTGTATGGAAGAAGATCAGAGCAAAGAATAATAAGCCTTTATTCAAAATTCTGGGCATGAGAAAGGATGTCAAAGGAACATTGTAATTTAGGGGAAGAGGGTGGTATGTTTTTATAAGAGGGATGGGGAAGTCACCTAGAGTTTGACTCCTTTCAGGAATAATTGGTCAGGAAAGAATCTTAGAAGATGGAGGAATTGTTGGTCAAGATTCGCAGCTATTATTTCATCATTTTGGATTTTATCCAGAGGGATGAGAAGGGGCAGTTTGGGACCAAGGTCCTGTGAAGGGGCCGGGGTCGGGGGGGTGGGGATTAACTGTAGGGACAAAGACAAGGAAGGACACAAAGGAAAATCCTCTCTTCAGAGTCTCTAACACTCATACACATGCCAGTTCATGGTTAGGAAAGAAAAGAGAAAGAGGGAGAGAGGGAGAGAGAGAGAGAGGGAGAGGAAGAGAGAAAGAAAGAAAGAGAGAGAGAGAGAGAGAAAGAAAGAAAAGAAAGAAAGAAAAAACTCGAGTGTTGTAGTGTGCTGAATTCCCAGAACAGCAAGAGTTTTTATGAAATGACCTTACCTTTTAATTCTCTCTTCATTATTAAAGAATGTCATTTTTGAGATAAGAGAAAAAATGGCAAAAGAGAAATGCTTAAGGGGCCAGTGTCTTTTACCATCCAAGTGACAAGCTCATGTAAGGGTTCGTGGCTTATCAAACTTTTAGAATTAGAGTTCAGATGACAAGAGGCATGTGGGGACATGGTTAAGATATTTATTCGAATTGGAAAATTAAGTCGTATTTTTCTAGCTGATTGGTTTGGTATTAACAACAATTTTTGTTATTTATGTAATAAGGTAGACATTCTCCTTAAACCCAATGAACAATATCTTCAACTCGGAGGTCTTTTGGTTTTTTTCAGAAATACATTTAAAACAAGTGATAAAATTAGTTATTTATTTATTTGCCAGAGGGCATTGAAATAAACTTTTTCAGTTTTCCCAATCCTGACTTGGTTTCTAGGATAAACAAGAAGCCTCTGACTGAAAAAGAAAAAAAGGAGGACTCTTTGTAGGATCTTTTTTATATGCTTCACAAGAACTGATGGGGTGACAAATTCTTTTCTAGTTTTAAAACAAATTTTGAGGGAGACCTAATTGAATTTTCACCGTAGATATTATGAAAATGATTGGTAATTATATGGTTTTTAGCCTGTAACCCAGAAGGAATTTAAAGAATTTAGTGGTTTTTGCTATGACAAAACTTTCATACTCATCCAGTGCTTTACAAGAATGAATTTTATCCCCATGTTACTTTCATAAAAATGAAAGTGGAAATATATCCAGTACTCTATCATGGTTCATTATGACAGATCATATTGATTCATAGATACTCAATTTAACTCATCATTAGATGCTTTACTTTTATAATTAATGATTCAAATATATAAAATGTATGCTGTTTGACCATTTATGCATTACAATAATTATAAAAACTCAATTCCAGAAGAAAACTTTTAACACTTAGCACCTTACCTGACAGAAAATTTTTATTAATTTAAATTTTAACTTTTGTACACTTTTTTTGCAGAGAAGTATAAGTTAGGCGTATTGAGCTTAGAAGTATATTCTTTATAATAAAATTGTCTAGGTTAAGTAAATGGAAATATGGGTTAAAATAAAATACAACAATGTATTATTT